CATTGTGGAGTTCTTGGAGGTGTCAATTCATAAAGTATACCCTTTTCTGTAAGATGGTCATCGAATTCTTCACTTAAGTATTCACCACCTCGATCCGATCAAAGGGCTTTGATTTTCTTGGCAAGCTGGTTTTCAACTTCACGCTGAAATTCTTTCAACTTTTCAAACAATTCAGATTTATGCGACATAAGGTAGGCATAGCCATATATACTATAGTCGTCTGTGAAGGTGATAAAATATCGATGTCTGTTTCTTGTGGCGGAGCTCATTGGTCCACATACATCGATGTGTATTAGACTTAATGAGTTTTGCCCTTTCTCCCAACTTGGAGAATGGCAGTTTAATCATCTTGCCTAATAAACATCCTTCGCAATTCTCAAACGATTCTAAATCGAAAGGATCAAGAACACCTTCCTGTAGAAGTTTATTGATGCGTTTGATGTTGATGTGGCCAAGACAACAATGCCACAAGTATGTCTAATTTGACTCCACGGTGTTAGCCGATTTGGCGGTATTATTCACATTATTAACTTGATTTTCTAAACAAAGCACATAAAGACCATTTTCTGAATGTGCAATACCATATAAAATATTATCGAGGTAAAACAAACATTCATTGTCCTTTACTCAAAATTCAAAACCTTTGGTGTCCAACGCCGAAATTGAAATGATGTTTTTGGTAACGTTGGGAACATAATAACAATTTTCAAGTTCCAAAACAAGCCTAGAGGGCAAAGACAAACTGGGAGTTCCTACGGATACGACTGCAATTCTGGCTCCATTGCCAACCTGAATTTCAACCTCTCCCTTCTCTAGCTTCCTAATGTTCCTTAGACCTTGAGAATTGGAACAAAGGTGTGAGCCACATCCGGTATATAATACCCATGATGTTGAGCTAGTGAAGTTTAAGTCTATGACGAATATACCTCATCTGAAAGCAACGGTTTTGTTCTTCTTATCTTCCTTGAACATGAGGCAATATCTCTTCCAATGTCCTTCTTCTTGCAATAGAAGCATTTGGAATCAGATTTAGAAGACGCTACCTTGTTCTCCTCGGTAGCTTTGGACATAGGCGATAAGGTCTTCTTTTTACCCTTCCCCTTAAAGCCTCTCTTCTTCTTGCCTGAGTATTTGAATGGTTTGCCCTTTCTTTAACCGATTTTTACAAGAAGTTTTAAACATAATTTTGATCATATTCTTAGCTTAGTTGAGAGCTGCTTTCTCTAGTTTTAGGGTTAGTTTAGGAGTAGATTTAGAGAGAGAAAGTGAGGAATTTCAATGGTGATTGAGATATTGAAGATTTAATGGTGACAATTGTGTTGAAGATCTTCTTTATAATCAATGAGCTTTTCTAATTCTATCTCGTTTTATTTCTTTGTTTAATATTCATGTTTGTTTGGATTGATTTTGATGTTTGATGCTTGATTAGTGTAGTTGTTCTTCATATATTGTTGATTCTTGACTTCATTAGTTGTTAATTGATTAGATAATGATGTTAGAGTAGTTGTTTGGCTAGGGATTGGGTAAAACTTGTATGATTGATTTATTATGCTTAATTTGGGAATTGTGTTGATTAATTGTTGAGATTAAAGCGATTAATGAAAATTGTGTATGTGTGTAATTCGATTAGGTCTTGAGAATTATGATAGATTGCATTGTGAGTCTACATTGATACGGACCATTGATTTGTAGCTCACAATTGTCGATTGAGCTTGGTTAGTGACGTTCCTAGTTACTGTCTCTCATAGTTGGCGCTAGTTAGACCTCCAGGAGATAGCTTATCGAGCTCTTTTGATTGCTCTTACCATTAGTCTTTGTAACCGTTTATTTGTATGTTGTTCTCGAGTTGCTACAATTGTCATGAGTACTTGTTGATCCCCATTCCCTAGTGCTTTATTCATTTGGTTCTTTGTTTGGTTAGTTGTTAGTATTACCTTTTATCCTTAGACTTCGACCTAGCTCAGGCGCATAATTAAGAGCGCTTGAACATTACCGTTCCTTTGGGTTCAACCCTTGACTTGCCTCTATACTTTGTATTTAGGTTTGTTAAGTGTTTAAAAATTTAGTTTAACCGAGGAAGGATTGGTCAACGACCTAGTCTTTTCCCCTCGTCAAAATGGCGTCGTTGCCAGGGAACGGTGTCTATGTTTGAGTGTTTTTGATTGCTTGATTCTAGGTCTTTGTATATACTTTCCTTTTATTTGACTTTTGCTTGTTTTGAAAGAAAAAGAAATGCAAAGTACCTCGTTTTCTCAATTTAAGAATGAGCCATTTTGGGTGTACTTTAATAGAATAGAGAACTTCATTAGTTACCATGGTTGTGATCTTTGGGAGGCTTGCAAGATTTTTTATCATGATTTTAATAAGAAAACTAGAGACATTATTGAAAGCATGTTTAGTGGTAGATTTCGAGCATTGTTAATCGACGATGCTTGGGACTTTTATGTATGGTTTGCTAAAGATACTTATGATCATGGTTATGGTTATTCAAATGTTTCTATTGATAATTGTGATGTTCCATGTTCCATGTATGATGAATCTTGCATGCCTACTTGTGCCCCCATCCCCCATTTTGATGATGTCACTCATATCTCTAATGTTGATCCTCGCATGCTTGTACATGATTCCTTTCCCCATGGTGCTCCTCAATTCTCTTCACCTTTCCAATCTATAGAATCTAGCTTTAAGTCTCCTCATGAGATGAGATATTTGGAGATTATGTGAAGCCAAATGGAAATGTTGAAAAAGTTGGAAGAGATTAATGAGGGCGTTCTTAGGAAGAATGAGGCGATGGAGAGTCACATTGTCATCAATGTTGAATGTAAATGAAGTTTCTACCACATTGATAGATATGGAAGAAGATGATGATGATTGTTTTGAAAGCTCCAAAGCATGTGAGGAGAATGTTAGAGAGCCTATGAGTGAGGAAAAGGGTGCAGAGATGGATGTTCTTAAAGAGAGTTTGCATTTTGAATATCCTTCCCAATTTGACTTTCATTCTATTGAGCCTTTAGATGGAGTTGAAGAGAAACTAAAATTGCTTCTGTTAATGTTGAGGAAATGGTAATTTAAGTTATGAAGGATAGGACATTGCAATTTTTTGGAGCGTGGAGAAGTTGTGAGGAAAGAGAGAGATGATGAGGATCCATGGGAGATTGGATGTTTGAGGGTGATGAGGACCAAGAGGCTTTGAGTGTTGAAAAACCAATTAGTGAGTCAATCCCCCCACCTACCTCCCTTGATTGTGATTTCATTACTCCGTTCCTAAATTTTGAAAACCAATCTTCTTCAACCCCATCTCTTTTGCATGATAACCATGGTTGCTTTGAGGGTAAGGCCTTGAGCTTAGATGATTTTGATGTAGATGAGGTTCAATATAAAAAGGTTGAGGAGGTAGAGCTTACTTTTGATGATTATGAAGATGAGAGTAAAGTGTTTGGTGAGTTTGAGTCTCCAACTCCTATCTCAAATCTTCAACCATTACCTTCCTCTTTCACCTTTGATGACCCCTTCTCTTCTTCATTTTCCACCATTGAAATGGATGAGGCCTTTTTAGAGGGAGATTGCACTTCTCATGTTTATCTTGAGCTACCTCCCAAGTTTGACCCTCAACCCTTTGATGAGCTTCCTTTGATTCTTGATGATGATTTGAAGCTTTTGATAGCTCATTTAGGGTGTGAAGTTTATGAGGAGGATGTGATTGAAAATGAACTTAATTTGAATGATGAGGAGTTGGAGGAAATCCCTTTGGATGTGAGTTCATTGGATGAGAGAGCTTGTGTTTCAATGGATAGTGGTGTAAGTGAACAACCAATTCCTGTTTCTTTACCTTACACCTCATTTTCAAGAAAGATTGATCTTGTTCCCTCCTATCCTATATCATTACCTTCTTTTCTCATATCCCCTCCTCTTAAAGAGCCTTTAGTCCCCCAAGGGCCTCATTTGATGACTTTTAAGGATGATGGTGGGACTTCCAACCAAAAATATTTTGTTGAGAAGAGTATGCCTTATTTTTTATCTTTTATTTCTCTTCCTTTTTCTTATATTCTTGTTTTTCCCTTCTCTCCTTCTACTTCTTGGCATACCTCTTCTCAACCCAATAGGCGTGCATTATGCTTGTTGCATGCCTTCATTTTGTTATGTGCATACTTACTTTCATATGAAATGTGTAGTAGTACATTTGACAAGCTCTTGCGTTCGTTGCAATACTATTTTACTAGAGCGGTCAAGCTTGGACCTTAAGCAAGCCTTTCTCGAGAAGTAACCCGTGTTTTATTGCTTTCATTTTCTTTTCTTTTTATAATATATTTTCTCTCATGGAAATGTTTGTGTGCCTTTTGCTAGGTACATGACATGATGATATACTTTGGTGCATTGGTTTGAATCAAGAATCAAGGAAGATTGACTCCTATTTTGTTAGCATATGGAAAGAAAGATTCAATTTTAAAGGAAAGTGGTTTTGAAAGGTTTAATTGGGTCATTTGCGGGTATTTACACCCACCTAACATCCGGTAATATCTTTCCTTGCTCTTTCTCTAATAGTTGATGCCTTGCTGGACATGTGTTGGTATTGTTGGTTTGATTTCTTTCTTTAACCATCCCATGGATTATTTGATTTATGTTTTGAGTGTATTGTCGCATTCAAGCTTTGGGGAGGGTATTCTATCATGTTTGGTGGATGTTGGTTCATATATGCCATGCACATTTGTATATGCAATTCCATCACTACACCAAAAACTAGATTAGATCGTAAAATATAGAACGGTTACCAAAGGTAGGCGTTCTCTAGAAGAATATAGAACGTGTTTATATAAGAGGCGTTACGTATGTTAATACATATGGAACGGTTAGCATAGTTAACCGTTCTCTATTTCTTTTAACTTAAATAATTAAAAAAATAATTAATTATTATATATGATATAGAACGGTCATCTTGACAACCGTTTTGTATTGTATTAATTAATTGTTTTTATAAAATTAGGAGGAAAAAATATACGGAGTAATTTATTTTCACTTTCACATTCACGTTGAATAACTTAAAAAAAACGGAAAAAAGTATTGTATTGTTAACCCTAGCAGGACTGCCGCTCCAATGCTCCATCCTCTTTCTTTTCACTTAATTTTTCAACCGTCGGTCTATTCTTTCACTCTCATCCCTCTCACAGATTTCCTTTTCTCTTCTCCTTAAATCCAATTTAGAGTTCCTTTCCTCCATGAATTTGACCCTAACTGATTGGTCATTAATAAGCAAAGAGAAGCTTAGACCTTAGAGATGCTTAACAATGGCGATCCACGGTTTATAATTATAAGCTTTTCATTTTGAACAATTTCAAAGCTATATCAACAAAACAAAGTCAATAAGATCCAATTTCAAGGTAAATCATTCCTCTTTTATTTCGTTTAATTTAGTTTCAATTTAGTTTTCAGGTCTTGCTATTATCGATGTATCCAAATTCTTATGATTTTGATTTTTATCGTTTGATTTTTCTTGATTCTTAATTAGATCTTAATTTTGATGTTATTTTGAAAATATATTTCTCACAATGTTAAAGTTATAAATTTTGCTTTGATTTTCTTTTTTCATTGTCTCTTGTTCGATTGGAAGAATATTTTAACAGTCCTTTGTCCAAGTATGCATTTTTTTTGTTGTTGATGTTTGGTTGATGGTGTTGAAGTTATGGCTCTTCTGTGTACAGTGAATTAAATTGGAGATTAGTGAACTTCTGGTAAATTGTGTTACTTCCATCCAATTTGGATGTTGCGGAATTGAAGGTTGGGTGTGATTATTTTCGCATGAATTTTTTATTTTATTTTCTAAGATTAGAGTTAATAATTATCTTAGGGTACGGCTCTTTTCATTAGTAGTATGATTGTTGTTACTCTGTAATGATTTTTTGTAGGGAGGTGGATGGTTTACTTCTGTCATGTCGGAGATTTGTTTAATTGCAGGACATGTCTTGTGAATTCGAAATTTACATGTTATTTTCATGTTAATGCAGATTATTCATAAAGAAGATCAAGTATTGCATACAAGTTTATGATTTGTTGTGGTCGATGAGCATCATTGAAAGAGATCCTTGTAGCACAAAATTTTATTTTTTTATTTGATATCTTGTTATTCCTTTTTCATTTGCAATTGAGTTGTATGAAAATATTATCAATTTTAATTATAAGTTTTGAGTACTTTGGTAGTTGGTATTTTTATTTGACTTCTACGTATTTACTTTGAGTAAGTTTTTCAATTTGAAATTAGCTGACTAATATATCTCGCAAATATTTTATTTTTTAATTTTTTTTATTAAAAAAAGGAGGAATAGAGAACTATTGGCATATCAAACTGTTCTCTTTGGTAAAGCAAAACAAAACGGTTAAGTAATATGACCGTTGTCTTTTCCTTCATTATTTTCTAATTTTAAGCAGGGAATAGAGGACGGTGATTACACACAAATGTTCTCTATAGTTGAGTATACAATACGCCTATTTGAACCGTTCTTTATACTTTACACATCGCTTAGCAGAAGAACGGTCCTGAGACATTCTATAAAGCCTATTTAAACCGTTCTCTAAACCATTTTTTGTAGTAGTGCATGATTCTTTATCTTGAAAAACTCCAAAAAGTTTTTTGTTTCTATCAAGGCAAATTTTCAATGTGTCTTTGTTTTGTTCTTGCTTTGGACATAATACTTTTGGACTTGTATAGTTGAATGCTTTTCTTCTTAAATGGTAACGGTGTGAATGGTTTGAGTGTATCTTTGGTTGATTTTAGGATAGAGTATGCTAAGGTAGTCCTTTAGAACTTTTAGGACCTTAAAGCCGGTTCTAATTGTTTTTGAATAAATACAATTGCTCCCTTTTGGTGAATTCGAAACTAATAGTGAGTTATTGCTACATCCATTTGAGGCTTCATTCTTTTCTAGCCTTCTCCATATTTTGCATGAGCGGCGCATGGATCCTTGACTATTGTATTCTTTATCTAGAATTTGAATTTCATCTCCCGAGATCACGACCGAGCCATTTAGAAAGGACAAATGCATCTTTTCAGGGTGGTAATTTTTCTTTTCTAAAAGAGTTTTCTATTTTTTTATGTTAGGTTTGCATTTGCCTACTTGCTAACCATTTGAGACATATACCCTTCTTTTCAAGCCATATCTTTATATTTTGAGCCTTTTGTTTCATTTTTGTTCCCATCATTGGTTTTTGTGAAGCATTTGGTCTCTTATATTGGAGTTTTGGTGGATGAGAATGATTGTTTGGTTCTTATAATGAAAGCAAGTTTGTGTTGTAAATATTTTGTGAATAAAAAGCAAATGCAAAGTTGAAAAAGTCGTCCATAGTTAAAAAGAGGCGAGGACACAAATAGTGAAAAATGAAAAAATAAAAAATGAGCAAAAGCAAAGCACATTCAAAAGCTTTTGCAAAAATTGAAAAAAGTGAAAAATGAGAAAATTTAAAAAATATTTTGTCGTAAGTTTATTTCTCCCTATTTTAAGCATTAAGGACAATGCTTTGTTCAATCTTGGGGGGAAGCGTTCTTACGCTTTTTGTACTTATGTTTGTGATTCTTGGCTTTGAATAAGCTTGGAGTGTTGTGTTTTTGTTTGGTGATTACTTGGTTTTGGTGTTGAGATTTGGCCAATCTTTGCTTCACGATTTAGGTATACTGCCAAATTTCAAATTTTAGCCTACCCTCACCCTTCTCGCCTTCACATTACAACCCTTTCCAAGACCTTTTGACCTTTGTGGTTGAGTCACAAGTCAGTGGAGGGAGATGTAGGTCAAGCTTATAGAGCGGCATGCAATAGTTGAGATGTCGAGAAACATCAAATCTATTTATTTTTCCGGTTCCTTCGAGGAACTATAAAGATGCTTGCTAAAAGAAAATTTGAAGCCAATTGGGAGAATGTGCTAAAAGTTTTTTGAGATGAAAGTTAATAGTCTTGATAGTTCTCTATACTTAGCATATCCTATGTTTCAATCAACCTTAGAAATCTTAGAACGTGCACTCCCTTACCTGTTTAGAAAGATTTTTTATTAACTTATGCTTGTACATTTGCAAAAAGTCCATTCATGAATATTTATTTTCTTTCCTTTTCTTTTCTTTTTTGCTTCTTCGTGCTTTGCCTTGTTTGTTTGTTTTGTGAGAGTTACGGGTCAATCTCTTAGGAAACCCTTACGAGAGAATTACTCGTCCTCTAGGGTGATCTAGGGCTTTAAATGGCTTGTCTTTAGTTGCTAAAATTGACCGTGATTCCTACGAAAGTGAGTTACTGCATCTTCTTGTCTCTTCTCTTCTTCTTTTGTTTGTTTGAATAAGCTAGTCATTATTTTTCCCTTGTTTTGGTTTTGCTCGAGGACGAGCAAAAGATAAGCTTGGGGGTATTTGATGGGTGTCGTAAATGGCACTCATTTGATGAGTATTTAGGTTGTTTTTACCATCTTTTCATAGCTTTCCTTCTTAATAAATGCTTAGTTTTATGCATTTGCTCTTTGTTTTACCTTTTCTCTCTTATTTTGTGGTTTTGTGCATTTCTATGGTTTTTCTTGGGTTTTCTCCTTTATGTCTCTTCTTTTTGTGGTTGTAGGTATTGTACGAGGTTTTAGTCTCGGTATTGATGATTTTCTAAGTTGGAAGAAGCTTGTGGAGTAGGCTTATAGCATTGAAAAAGCTCAAGATGCAAGGAAATGGATGCTCCAAGTTCTAGTTCTTGCGCTCTCGAGTCGTGCTCCCATGAAGAAGTGGTGTTGAACCCACCAAAAGAGCTCCTAGCTAAGTACTTCCCCTACCATCATGCATCATCCGGAGTTCGCGGGTTTATTATCGAACGCACGAAGCGGCGAAGAAGATGGAAGAAACCCAGAAAGGAGCATGCGCGCCACCCAGCAGAGCAGGCGCGCATAGCTCGAGCGCAGGCGTGCGCCTCTGCCCGTGCGGGCGCTCCTCCTCTGCTTTCCAGCTTCGATCGATCTATTTTCCACACCTCTATAAATACCTTTCTTTAATCGATTTTGCAAGAAATTTAGACATAATTTGGATCATATTCTTAGCTTAGTTGAGAGCTTCTCTCTCTAGTTTTAGGGTTAGTTTAGAAGTAGATTTAGAGAGAGAAAGTGAGAAATTTCAATGGTGATTGAGAGATTGAAGATTCAATGGTGACAATTGTGTTAAAGATCTTCTCTATTATCAATGAGCATTTTGAACTCTATCTCATTTTATTGCTTTATTTTAATATTCATGTTTGTTTGGATTGATTTTAATGCTTGATTAGTGTAGTTGTTCTTCATATATTGTTGATTCTTGATTTCCTAAGTTGTTAATTAATTAGATGATGATGTTAGAGTAGTTGTTTGGCTAGGTATTGGGTAAAACTTGTATGATTGATTGTGCTTAATTTAGGAATTATATTGATTAATTGTTGAGATTAAAGTGATTAATGGAAATTTTGCATGTGTGTAATTCGATTAGGCCTTGAGAATTATGCTAGATTACATTGTGAGTCTACATTGATGCGGACCATTGATTTGTAGCTCACAATTGTCAATTGAGCTTGGTTAGTGACGTTCCTAGTCAGTGTCACTCATAGTTGGCGCTAGTTAGACCTATAGGCAATAGATTGTCAAGATCTTTTGATTGCTCTTACCATTAGTCTTGCAACAATTGATTTTCATGTTGTTCCCGAGTTGCTAAAATTGTCATGATTACTTGTTGATACCTGTAGACACCTAAAAAAATGTCTCCCCAAAACCAAACTCGATGATGAACAACCTTTCATCGCTATTAATGGTCGGGTTGAGTATTTAATCTTGGAGTGCTTAAATCCATATTTCCATTTCATAAACCAACCCAACTTCTAGGCCATTTCCCCAAACCATAACTTATTTTCCTCTTTTCGTGCCTTTAAATCCAAAATAATTCATTTCGTGTCCTTTAAAATCATTCATTTCGTGTCTTTTTTATAAAAACATATAATCCAGTTTATTTTGGTCCATAATCTGGGTCCAATGGTTGAATAGTTGGATGGGTCTTTAAAATATCTTTCCAACGATATATTATAAGTCCAAATCTGAGTTATAACGAATAAGTTATGGCCAAAATATTAAACTGAGCCCAAACCGAACCTAAGCCAACCTTACCTACGACCCAATGATCATGTGGAGGGTCCAAATGATTTAATCCAATTACTAAACCAATTAGGATTAATTAGAAACTTCTATAAGTTTCTAAAAGATCCTAATTATCCTTTTTGAAAAGATAAGATTAAAGAGTTTGAAATTGAATAAAACTCCTTTTTTTAAAAGTCCTAATTTTATTCGAATTGAAAGACATTCAAAGATAGAAAGATATTATTTTCGTTCCCCATAGTTTTTATCCAAATTTATATGGTTGGATAGATCTTGAAATTATCTTTCCAATGATATATTATAATATCAATTCCGAGCTATAACGGAAAAGATATGAATAAAATGTCAAACTCTATCCAAAACTGACACCGTCTCACTATTTCGGACATAACTCTTATTATACAGAATATTTTAATCTGATTCAAATTGGTTTAGAAAGTAGACTTCAAGAGTTTTCCAACGACATATTATTTATCTTATTCCGATTTCTGGATCAAAAGATATAATAAAAACAAAAAACGCAAAAATTGTTGTCTATCGCAAGAGTTTTATCCGATTCGAATTCTTATCTTTTCTTGATTCTTAGACCCCTCTTTTTTCTCTATAAATAGAGGTAATATCTCCCCTTTTACAATCATCAACAAGCTTGATCATCAAATCCTTCTCTCTTTCTCTCTTTTACACCAAAAATCATTCTCTTCTCTCTCTCCCATATTCTAAGCCTTAAACATATATTCCTAATTACACCATTCTTCCCTTAAGCACTCCAAGGAGTCTATACTAAACTCGAGGTTCCGTCCTTAAACCAAGGCGTGAAAGGTATAAATAACTGAGGGTTTGGACCAAATCAAATCTATATTTATTTAATTTAATTTTCATTTGCTTTATATTTTTATTGAAGTTACTAACAGTTTATTCATGATGTAGCAATTTAAAGGAATGCGCAGAATGTGAGTAATTAATTAATTTAATTACTCTTATTTTATTTTAATATTGCTAGTATCATGATTAGTTTAATTTTATATTTGATTTGACTAACATTATTATTGTTGAATTGCTTCCAATATTAATGTTTGTTC